TAGTCTATGTACATATAAGAATATCTCGCCTTTTTTTTCTTTTTAAAATAAATGGGAGCAGTCTTCTGCATTTTGCCTTTCCCTCTTAATAGCTCTTAGAACTTATTCTCTATATATTGTTACATATTCAGTTATCTAATATTAATGCTACATAATATTTCATTATACAGTTATGCCGTAATTTATTCAGCCAGTCCCCTTGTTAGGATTTGGGTTTCTTGTTTTGGGGGGCTTTTATGAACAATGTTATATTCAGCTTTCTTATACTGACACATGTATAAACATGTATTTGTAAAACTTCTACATTTGGCATGACCTATCAAAAGGAAAAATGCAGATTACGGTCAAAAAAGGCTAGCAGTAATAGCTTCATATTTAAAAAAAGAAAAGAAGGATGTGAGGGGTTAAATTTGAACACTTCGCAGGTGGTTTTCTGAGCATGCTTTGGAATCTTGGTTTTTAGAAGGGTAAGTGTGATTGCTGCATGTTACATTCCTGCCTCTTTTCTCCCCCAGCTTTGGGTGTCTTTTACATTCCTGTCTGGAAAGTGTTCCCAGTGACCTTGGTTAGGCATTAAGATCATGGGAATCCAAGATTTTCCCATGTCTTCCAGCATGTTTTTTTTTTTTTTTTTCCACAAGGACAGGATAACTTTTTCCTTGCAGCCAGAGAATTTTAACCATTGTTAGTCACTGAGAAATCTTTTACTGAGGGTCTTTTGAATAAAAATGTGATCCAGGAGAGGAAAGGTACAGGAGGTCAAATGGCAGTGATAATACCCTAGAGTAGTATGTTTCACAGCACTTGAAATGCCTTCATTTGTTTATGGGAAGAGGGTAGAGCAGAGAAGAGAATGGCTTGCCCATTGTCATGCAAGATGGGAATTGTTAGGTAAGGCTAGCGTTCTAAACTTTCATGTTAGTTGGGATTGCTTTTGGCTGTAAGTTAGAGAAAATATAACTGTTTTGGCTTATACAAATAAAGTACTTTTTTCTCTTTTTTAAAGATAGGGTCTCTTAGGTCTATATAGCCCAAGATTATCTTGAACTCATTATGGTAGCCCAAGCTGGCCTTGAACTCCTCCTTGGCCCCTGAGTGGTGTGATTACAGGCATGTAACATTACACCTGGCACAAATAAGGTATTGTTTTTCTCACATAAAAGGTCTGGAGGTAGGTGGTTGCTACTATTTGATCATAATTAGTCAGTAGCTCAGTGATATCATGGGGCCTGTTGTTCTCTTGGCCATCCACTTATATATGTAGGATGACTACTATGACTCTAGTTGTAACATCTGCTTTCAAGGCAGCTAGGGCAAAGGAAAAGGGCAGAAACAATAGCTGTATCAGAATAATAAAAATTTTTCTATGAATCTCTCAGCAAATTCTTAGCTCTCATTGGTCAGAACTGTGTACTGTGGTTACCCCCAAGCTTGGAAGGTGGCTATCAAGGACATGAATTCCGTTTAGTGTACTTCCTACTATTTTGATGGTGTTCAATGGAAAATATTTAACTATGGTTTGGCTTTAGCCGTGTTAATCTTTAATTCTCTTTATGCTTACAATTTATACTATGTAATTTAAGTGTTATATATTATATTTATTGTGTGTGATAGCACTTTAGTTCCTATAAGATTTTAAGTTTCTTTTTGTCTAGCATTAGAGCTACCTTTTTTTTTTTCCCTTTTGTGGAATTGTGCCCTTGAACTCAAGGTTTCATGCTTGCAAAAGCAGGTGCTCTACTGCTTGAGCCATACCTCTAGTCCATTTCGCTCTGGTTATTTTGGAAATGGGTCTCTTGAACTATTTGTCTGGGCTGGTCTTGAACCACAGTCCTCCTGATCTCAGCCTTCCAAGTAATTAAGATTACAGGTGTGAGCCACTGATGCCCTGCCCTTTTTCTCGGGGTGGGGGGGGGGCGAGAAGGAGGGGTAGTGAAAGCAAAGTTTATTACAAAAGGAATATATTTTCACAAGAACACCCTAAACCCTCTACTTTTGAATGTGAGGACACAGAGTCTTGTCTTTGAGTATTAGTGAGAAAGGAGCTTAAATATCAGTAGGTCTACAAGTGGCCCCTAGCAAGTGCACAATGTAAGTAACTATTAACAAAAAGCTTAATGAGTTAAGTTGAATAATGAAAGTAGAACTGAGGGAGAGTGAAAATTTAGAATGGGGAGAATAGAGAACACTGTTCAGGTCAAAAGACTATGGAGATTGCATCTGCTTGGAAATGAATATGATGCCATTTTATATGCAAATAGAGACCTTAACTGCATTAACACACTTCTCTAATTCCTAAAGCAAGCAAGTAGAAGAATGTGAAAAAAAAATTGTATTCTAGTTCTAGGTGTAACTGTAATACTGGGCAATTATTTAATCTTTCTAATTTTCAGCTTCCTCTTCTAAGATAGGATAATTGCTGTTTTACAAGATTGTTATGAGTATTAGAAATAATATAGATATTATATAATATAGTATTAGAAATAATATAGTACTTAACAGCACTTGGCATGTAATGAACACCATATTGGTACTTTTTTTTTTTTAACCACTATTGTTAGTATTATTGTTACGTGATCTTGGAGAACCTTTCTTTGCTTTAATTAATCCTTACCTATAAATGCAAAAGTTAGGTGTTATCTACAGTTCTTCCCAATTTTGGAGTGTCTTGTTTCTACACTAAGTACCTCAATTTGAACATTGTTATAAAGGTATTTGTGGAATTCTTACTGCAGTAAGTTCACAGAAAAGACCATGAGAAGTTCTCTGTCTGGTGTGTAGATTAATGTCACTGTATAAAACAGGTATTTGTTAAAACATTTCTGAGACACTAAATGACCCAGAAGTATCTTCTGAATTATTGTAGTTCACTGAGAAAAACTAATGAAATTCTGGCCTAACCACGGAGTAGCAATGTAGCTTAGGTGATGTGTCTCAGAGTACAGTGATAGTGATATAAAGAAGATGCAGGCTGTTAGTATACACTCCTCTGGTAATATATGTGGGTAGTATTCTTTCTGAGGAACATGGTTTTTTTGTTGTCATTGCTTATTTTTAAACATTTTTATTAGCATATATTAGTTGCACAAGAGGGATTCATTATGACATTTCTGTATATGCTTGCAATGTTCCTTGGTTAGGTTTATCCATTCTCCCTCATCCTCCTCCCCACTCTGAGGAACATTTTCACAGTATTTACCAAGAGTTTTTTTTCTTTTTTGTGGTACTGGGGTTTAAACTTGAATCCTATACCTTGAGCTACTCCACCAGCCCTTTTTTGTGATGGGTTTTTTTTGACATAGTGTCTCATGAACTCTTTGCCCAGGCTGGCTTTGAACCTCAATCTTCCTGATCTCTGCCTCCTGAGTAGCTAGGATTACAGGCGTGAGCCACTGGCGCCCAGCTCTATCAAGAACTTTTGACCCAACAATTTTACATCTTAAAATTTATCTTAAGAGAAAATTATGCATGTGTACAGAATGTTAGCTACAAAGAATGTTGTTCTAGAAGTATTTTTAAAGTGAAAATATTGGAAAAAGTTTAAAAATAGGGGATAAGTAATTACTGTACACCATTAGTAGATGATATATGTTCAAATTTGTTGCCAGAAGAAATGCTCACAATATGCAAAGCATATTGAAAATATAAATGATCTCTTTAGAGAATACTGTTCAGGTCAAAAGGACTAAGGTATAGCTCAGTAGCAGAGAGCTTGCTGACATGCTGGAGGCCCTGGATTCAATACCTCGCACCACAAATAAACAAACAAAATAAAAGATAATTTGTATGTATATGAGGGAGAAGGAATCAAGAATAGTGTAGTATTATACATTATTTTTATAAAATAAGAGTTTAAAGAAAGGTATTCATTCAATACATGTTTATGCAAATGATTACTTGTATCTACTTCTCTTCCAAAATATAGAGTACTTTTAACACTTTTTTTTATTTTTTATGTTTTTTTCAGTGTCCATGGGTGGGCATGAGCCATACAATACTTTCAAGTGCATGTGGTTCCCTGGATAAAGACAAGTGGCTCATTGGGTTTCATAGGCAAATTATTTGCCAGTGAGTGTGGCATTAGCCTATTTTTCAGAATACTTCCAACTATTTTACTAACTAGATAGAACTGGAGTGTGGGCTTATTTTAAACCTACACAGGTTTCTACAGGATAGAATACAAAATTTTGTACTTAGGATTTGGAGTACTGTTCACCTGTTCTTTTTACTTCTGTGTACTGTGCCTTTTCTATGTATTGCAAGGCCATTTTCTTCATGTCTAGAAATAGTTCCCTCCTCCCCTGCCCCACTCTGTTCAGGATTGAACGCAGGGCCTCATGCATGCCAAGTACATGCTGTGCCACTGACCTATACCCCTAGCCCAGGAATAGGATTATTTGAAAGTATTTGTAAGGAAATAAAGCCTATACTTGGCAAAACTATGTCTTTTATAAGGTACTGTGCTAATAAGCACCTTGAGTGATATGTGAGGCATACACAAATAAAATCCATTCTACTCTTTAGGAACTTCAGTCTAGTAGGAGAGACGTTTGCATAGTTAATATAAAATGGGATGTTAGGTGTTACAGCAGTGATATAAAGAAAGCACTGTGGCTTTGGAGATGTAGTAGTTAGTTACTTATGATAGGTGAAAATTGAAAAAGAGTTCATAGATATTTAAATTGACTTCAGTAAATAAGATCTTTGTTGATGAAATAATGAATGTAAACTCCTAGTACATAGCATATTGTAAGTATTCATCATACTTTGCCTCTTTGTGACTATAAACATATTTACCTCAAGGAGTGTATTCAAGTTACCAAAAAATAAACATCTCCCCTACCTCCCAAAAAACCTTAACTTTTATGTTGATTTGACAAAGTGAGATATATTTTCCAAATGACTTTCTAAATTGCTAATGTGGTAGCAAAATCAAAGTACTTGAGGGAATTGGTACCTTTTATTAATATGCAAAATTTCTGAATCGTTTCTTTCCTCAGAAGGTGACCTATTGAGAAAAGTGACACAAATATAGGAAAATCCTGCTCTTCTGAAGTAAGGGTGAGATAATGTCACAAGTTACAACCACTTATTCCTTTGATGCCCCAACGGATTTCATCAATTTTACATCTTTGGATGCTGAGGAAGATACTGAAAATGTAGATTCATGGTTTGGTAAGTGTCTGCTTTCTCTGGCCAATTTTAGGGTTAGTGGCTCGCTTTGTTCTGAGGACCTTTCAAAAACAGAAAGAATTGCAAGAAAATGAATTCCTTTCTGCACCAAGACATCTATCACTTGATAGACATACAGTTGACATTTAAACTGCATGGGTTTGAAGTGCATGGGTGTGAACTCATACGTGAATTTTTGTTCTTGTTTTTGAGACATGGTCCAACATGTAACCCAGTCTGGCCTTGAACTTGCAGTCATCCTGCATTCACTTTCCTAGTGCTAGAATTATAGGCATGTACCACTAGCCCTGGCTTTTGGATTTTTTTTTTTGTTTTTGGAAAATTTGAACAGTTTGAAAAAAATTTGCAGATGAACCATGTAACCTAGAAGTATCAAAAAAAAAAAATTAATACAAGGTTAGATGTGTCACAAATGCATAAGACATGTAGATAACATATATACATATATATATATATATATATATATATATATATATGTATATATGGTAAATGCTGTATTACTACCATAAAATATACACAAATCTATCATTAAAAAGTTAAAATTTATCAAAACTTAACACATAAGCTTAACACTTATGGACTATATATAGGGTGCCATATACAAAGAAATGTAAACAAATGTAAAGATGCAATATTAAATCATAACTTCATAAAATTAACTATAGCACATCTGTAATGCTGTAATAATTTTGTAGCTACCTTCTTTTTGCAGGGAGCCAAAAGTTCTGTGTGGATTTTCAACTAAGTGAGGGTCACCACTCTTAACCCTTGAGCTTTTCAAAGGTCAGCTATTGTTAAAATGCCCAGTATTTTGGAAATGGACTATAAGTACAAATTTGTTATTTTGCAGTTCAGAATGACAAATATTCAGGGTATGGGAACGTGTGGGAAAATTCAAATGAAACAATGTTCAGTGAAATTCCAGAACTCAAACATGTTTGTAGTGATGGTAACCATATAAAAATTCACTCTATGACCATTGGGCATGGAGTATAGTGCAACAAGTAGGATATTGCTATTGATGCAACCTATTTGTCTTACTCAGAATTCCCCAGTTGTATCTTTTCTTTTTTTTTTTTTTTGTCTTGGCAGTACTGGGGTTTGAACTGAGGGCCTTGAACTTGCTAGATAGACTCTTCACCACCTGAGCCATCCTCTAGGCCTTGTACTCATTTTTGTATGTGTATATGTATTAAGTTGTCTGTAATTTTATCACCTGTAGATTCGTCTATCTACCATCTCAGTCAAAAATATCAAATAGTTCTAATATCATAAAGATCCCTTATGTTACTCTTTTATTACTTATTTGTTTACCTTTTTTTTTTTTTGGTGGTACTGGGGTTTACACAGGGTCTTAGACTTGCTAGACAGGTACTCTACCACTTAAGCTACTCCATTAACCCTGTTTACTTATTTTTGAGACAGGTCTTACTATGTTGCCCAGGCTGGCCTCAAACTCCGGGGCTCAAGAGGTCCTCCTGCCTCAGGCTGCTAAATACTGGGGTTACTGTCTGACCTCAATTCTTTTTTTTTTGGTAGGACTAGGGTTTCAACTCAGGGCTTCATGCTTGTTAGGCAGGGTCTTGTAAGTGGCTTGTTAGGCATGTCTCCAACCTTTTATGTTCTGGTTATTTTGGAGATAGGGTTTTACTTTTTGCCCAAGCCTACCTGGACCAAGATTCTCCAATTTGAATGGGATGACAGGCGCTCATCACCACACCCAGCCTTTTTCCATTGAGATGAGGGTCTCACAAAATTTTTGCCCAGTATGGCCTTGAACCACTATCCTCTTAATCTCAGCCTTTCAAATAGTTAGGATTACAGACATGATCCACCAGCACCCAACACCCAATTCTTTTTTTTTTTTTTGGTGATACTGGTGTTTGAAGAACTCAGGGCCTCACACTTGCTAGGCAGGCATGCTACCACCTGAGCCACTTCACCAGCCCCATTTTTTATTGGGTTTTTCAAGATAGGGTCTTTCAAACTGTTTTCCTGGGCTGGCTTCAAACTGTGATTGATCCTCTTGATCTGTGTTTCACCAGCACCTTGCTCATTTTTAAATAGAGATGTCATGCTATTAAAACCCAATCTCCAGAGATACGATTGCCTGATTTGGGTCCTGTGTTGTAGCACAAACCCTGAAACTAGGCCAACAATAAGTTAGGATATAGTTATATTTTTATATAACTTTGGAATAATATGAGACCAGTAGCTGATGTATCTCCTTCATTTTATTCTTTTTCATGTCTCCGTACTCCTTATTAAAAAAAGTCCGTATCAATATGTGATGGGGACAAAAATGAATCCATTACAGATGGGTTCCAGTGGTTCACACCTGTAATCCTACCTACTCAGGAAACAGAGATCAGGAGGATCGTGGTTTGAAGCCAACTCGGTCAAATCATTCTTAAGACCAAAGTGGTAGAGCACCTGCCTAGCAAATGTGAAGCCCTATGTTCAAGCCCCAGTGCCACAAAAAAAATTAAAGTTCATTGCAGCCATACTTACCTGCCATTCTCTTGGTAAAGGACTTTAGTGGTATCTAATAGGGAATTCTGAGAGGAGGGGCCTATTGGAAGTGGTGTGGGAGAAAGAGTAGATAAGAGGGCAGCTGTCTTCCCCATATCCTTGATTCACCAGAATCCAGAGGGAATGCCTGGGCTGTTTGAAGATTTCTTTTTCAAGTTTTTCTTTACAACTCCCTTCCCTTCCAAAATATTAGTGTAACAATAATAGTAAGTACAGTTTCTAAAATTTATCCCACAGCCTTTTAAAACTACCTTAATTCTGGTATATCACTTTGCAGGTTTTTGGTTTTTTTTTTCCAAATAATCACATCTTTATACAGTTATAGTCAGAGTATACATGCTGGGACTCACTGCATTTGCTCTTTCAGTGGGTTGGTAGAGCAGACCATTTCATTGTTTTGCACTGACTTTCAGGCACAGCAGAACCTAAGATAAAATTCCTTGAGAGGACCTGGCTCTGCTCTACCCTTATACACCCCACATTCTTGTCTCACCACCCTAAGTGAGGGAGAAGTATTATAAGATGGCCCTTTGTAAGTTCTACAATTCCTGGTTGCTACAGTTTTCTTTAAGAGGAACATGATGTATTTAGGTGGTAGATAAGGCCAGACCATATTTGTGTTGTTTTAACACTTGTATCAAACGAAGACAAGGGAGTTAATTGGAATAGAAAATCTGAACATTTCTTTTTCTATAATACATTGTTCAATGTTGCTAGTTTTGCTAGTGTTAATTTTTAATCTATCTCTGATGTATAATGTGTATTTATTTCCTTTTGATTGCTAGAACTTTGCTTGTTCTTGCTAAATAAGTTGCAGGAGGCTTTATTCCTCATTTTAACTGCATGATGCTGATTTGTTTTGTTTCCTTGCTGATTATTTGAATGATGATAACCTTACTTTTCCACAGACAAGAAGGCCAATGTAGAGAATAACTTTCCTGGGAAGAATGGGCTAGAAGAGCTTTTTCAAAGCAAAACTTCCTTGAGAAAAGCTAAACTTCTCACTCCTCTGAGACCAGGTAAGAAAGAACATCTTAGAAAAAACCTCCTTGAGAAAAGGTGGTACAATGTACTAGGAGCTTGAGGATCTGGGGAAATTATCTAAATGCCATATCTATTGGTTTGTTATTGGTAAAATGGACTAATTCATTTAAGGATGAGTATATAATAACCACACACTATATATATTTTAATCCCTTGGAACTTAAAGTAATATAGTATTTCATTGTTATGTACATGACTGTTACATTTTTATGACAAGATTTTATGTAAATTAACCTGGATTTGGCTGGGAACAAAACATCAGGAGAGAAGAGTGTACTGATTACTGCTGTACAAGACTTTTTTTGAGTCATGTGTCTGATTTTAAAACATGATTGACATTTAAAGGATGGTTACTAACTTTGCAGAATATTGTCTATCTGATCAGAACATGGGAAGCATACTTTAAGAGTCATAAATTTCCTCAAAATTGATTTTTTTAAAATAAAAACTCTATTAAGTGTTTTTATTGTATTCAGAATTGTACAGCCATCATCATAATCAATTGAGAACATTTGAAAATTATTTTGTGGGTAAATCTGAAATTGGACTCAATCCCATCATTAACTTGAGGGGCTAACTCAGAGAAATAGCCATAGTTTTAATAAACTTTTATTTTGCAGTCTGAGCTGCTAAACTGACCTTCAGATAATTTATGGGAACAGGTGATATCAATTCAATTCAGGATTTGAACAAGTACTTTGAACTTTAGTATCCCTCTTTCTTGGACAAAGGAATTAGAACTACGTGGCATGTTTTAACTGACATATATGAAATGCCAATGGCTTGAATGCTGTTATCTTCAGATGAATTTCATTAGTTTTTTCAAGGTGGTGGATTTTCTGTTATTATAATGGTATTTGTGTTCTTGAATTCAAAAGGGATGCAGCTTTCAGTTTAAGACTGTTTTGTATTCAGTGATTTCTACCATCAAATAGAATAGAAAGCCCCAAAGTAACAGACCTCTGCTTGGCACTTCCTGTGGCAAAGACCATGTATACTATTTACAGGCATGCCTCCTAGACCCCTCATAGTCTTGTATTCTTTCTTGTTTCACATTCTCGCCTTTCTATTAATGTTACACCCTCTGCCTTGAATACCCTAGTTTGAGAAATTCCTATTCATCTTCAGGACCCTTTTTTCTATGACTGATTTCACTTATCTGTGTTCTTAAAGCATTTTCCATGCCTCTTTTAATTTCCATTTCTCTTTGTGTTGCTAGTACATAGAAATACAATTAACTTTTATATAATCTTTTTATCCTGTAATTTTTTTCCCCCTGTGGTGCTGGGGATAGAACCCAGGGCCTCATACATGCTGGGTAAACACTCTGCACTGAATTACACCCCCAGCTCAACCCTGCAATTTCTTATTATTAATTTTTTTTGTAAATTTCTCTACAAATGGTCATGTCACCTGCAAATCTGACTTTTTTTTTTGCATGTTACACTGGCTAGAACCTCTAGTAGGATGTTAAAAAGCAGTAGAGAGAGTATACGTGCTTGTCTTAGTCTTGATCTTAGTATGCAAACATTCAGCCTTTTACCATTAAATAGGATGATTACTGAAGTTTTTTGTTTTGTTTTGTTTTGTTTGTTTTTTCAGTCCATGCCCTTTGTTAGGCTGACGAAGTTCTCTTAATTCCTGTTTTGCTGGAATATATTTATCATTAATGGATATTGGACTTTGTTAAGTGCTTTTTTGTTTTTTGGTTTTTTGCATGTATTGAGTTGATCTGGTCATATATGTTTATCTTTTTTTTTTTTCAGTCTGTTAATATGTTGAGCTACATTGATTTTCTAATACTGAGCTAATGTTGTATTTCTGGAATGAATCAAAAGTGGTCATGGTATTTTTACTTTTGTTGTTTTGGCAGTATTGGCGTTTGAACTCAAGGACTTGCACTTGCCAGGCAGGCCCTCTACCACTTGAGCCACACCCCAGCCAGCCCTTTTTTGCTTTTGTTACTTTTCAAATCCTGTTTCACCTGGGCTGTGCCAGACCATGACTTCCTATTTACGCTTTCTGCATAGGGGGTGACAGGCATTTGCCATCACACCCAGCTCTTTATTAGTCGAGATGGGATCTCACATACTTTTTGCCTGGGCTGGCCTCAAACTGCAGTCCTCCTAATCTCTTCCTGCAGAGTAGCTAAGATTATAAGCATGAGCCACCATGCCCTAGAACTCATGATTCTTTTGCCTCAGCCTCTCATGTGCTGGAATTACAAGTGTGGGATACTATGCCCAGCTTTTAAAAAGAAAGAATAAATGCATAATTGCGCATATTTATGGGGTACATTGTGATAATTTGATACATGTACATAGTGGTAGTGAGGATTGAACTTGGAGCCTCACTCTTGTAAGCAGGTGCTCTACCACTTGAACCACTCTGCCAGCCTCAAAGTAGCTTTTATAAGTAGGATTTCTGTATAAGATTTCACTGGAACTAAGGGTTCCATTGCTTAGGAAGGAAATATGCACACACACACACACACACACACAGTCTCTCTATATATGCAAGTGATATGTGTGTTTGTGTTTATATATGATTTCAATCTAGAATTATGTTTTGGTTTGTTTTAATTTGTAAAACAAATTAAATTAATGATCTCAAGATCAACTGGATGCTGCAACAGCTGCCCTCTTGGGTTTAGGTGTTGTTTGTTCACAGAATCCATGCCTGTACCTGCTGTTGACCATTTTTAGGTGCCTCATTTGACCAGTTCCTGTATTATTTTGTCTCTTACCTTGGCACTCCAGTTATACTTTCTCTTGCGCTTAGTAGGGTAGCAACATTTGCTTGCCACAGGTCGACTTCTGAAGGTGGTAGGCTTTAGAGCCACAGTGGGGCACATGTATGCCTTATTACATTGCTTTCCAGATGTTGACATTCCCTTCATCTTGCTTCTGCTGCCAAGACCAAAGAGATAGAGTTGTATATTAAGTCATATCTTCATATTATATTAGGTGTATCTGTACATGTGTAATTGTGTGTATGTATATATGTGTGTGTATGTGTATGTATGTGTATATAGTTTGTAACTCATTTTCTTTGGATTTAAGTGCTGACTAGCATTTGGTCTCCCACAGTTGGTAATACTTACTACAAAGAGGAAGAAAAAGAAAATCTTACAGAACATTCTATTCCATCAAATGCTTGTTCTTCCCTGGAAGTTGAGGGAACCATATCAAGAAATACTCCACCCCAGCCTCAAAGGTAAGACTGTTTGGGGGTTCAAATGTTGTGGTTATAATAATAATATTAAAAAACAAAACAAAACAAAAAAACACAGCAACTCAACAGAGCACTACCCCCTCTGTGTCCGCATGTTAGACTCATAATGTTAGACTTCAATTTAAGTTGTAGATAAGAGCTCATAAATACTAAGTTGCTCGCTGAAGGCAAGTTCATATCAGAACCAGAATTCAAACCCTCATCAGTCTGGTCTAAAGTTAATGTTTTCCTGATGTAAAAAATTTCTTTTTGCTCTTCAGTATTACTTAAGCTTTCTTAGGTTGTTTGTATAGTATCTTTTTCTATACTTGCATTTTCAAGCTATTTTTTGACTTTTATTTTGTCTTCTTATTAAATTTTTTGTGGTGCTAGGGATTAAGCCTAGGGCTTCATGCATGCTAAGCACACACTTTGCCACTGAGCTACTGCCCAGCCTTGCCTTTGATTTTTAAAGTGTCTCTTCTGTAGACAGCACTTAGTGAGATTTTGCTGGGTTTTGTTTTGTTGTGATGGTACTGGGGTTTTAACTCTGGGCTTGGACTTCATGCTTGTGATCCTTCTGATCTCAGCCTCTGAAGTAGCTAGGATTATAGGCATGAGCCACTGAGGTGACTTGTTTTGTTTTTTTGAGACAGGGTCTTGATTTATAATTCAAGCTGATCTTGAACTTGCTTTGTGTCCCAGGCTGATTCAGATCCTCCTACCTTATCCTCCGTAGTACTGGCATTACAGGTGTGTACCACCTTGCCCAGTTAAGATCAATGTATTTAAATGCTAAAATTTTATGGTTGAATTTCAAAAACAAGATAAGAGATTAGATTTTTGAAATGTAGATGATGTTAAACTTTTTTAAGCCCTTTGTAGTTTGACTTGCTTTCACATTTCTGAAGAACATTTGTATTAGTAGTGTATGAATGATCATTTGTAGTAGATGTATTCATTGTAAGACAAGTTTTGGTAATTACTGTACCATAGAAGATCAGTTAGACTCTCTGCTCGGAAGGATTTGGATCAGAAAGAAAAACGCCATGTTCAAATGAAAGCAAAGAGATGTGCCACTCCTGTAATCATCAGTGAAATTCCACCTTCCAAAAAAATGAAAGTGTAAGTAGCCACAGTTTCTTCCTGCCATGGTGGTGGGTGGAACCATGCTGTGTCTTGTAGGCCACTTGTAAGGTAGGTTTCATTCCTGAATTTACACTTTGAGTAAACAGAGTAAAATTGCAATGTGTTTTGATGTGTGCAATGTGTTTGATGTTCCTGGAGCTTGGGAAACTCTTAAAACCATGACCATGGTAAGGTGTGTCTTGTCCTGGAAGGTGCTCAAATCTCAGTTAATAATAAGTTTTACCTCTATTTATATCTATGGCTACGAACAAGCTGAATATATAGTGTTTATTCTTATTTTTTGTCAGGAATGCATTCTGTTGCAAGTAATAGCCTATTCAACTAGACTGTTTGAATAAATGTTTTATTTACTTATAGAGGTCTAAAAGTGGTTTGCTGCTAGCTTTTGTTCAGTGGCTGAACATTGCCAGGACTAGCATTTCTGTGATTCTTAGCTTTTTCATTTTGCTTGTTGCTTATTGTCACAGGATAGCTGCTATAACTCTAGGCATCATTTGCATGTTTAAGAAAAGGAGTATATGGTAATTTCTAGGTTTTTTTTTTATTTGGCAGTACTGGGGTCTGAACTCAGAGCCTCACGTTTGCTAGGCAGGCGCTGTACCACTTGAGCCACTCTGCCAGTCCCAAGATAAGGAGTATATGTAGCACTCATGAAGAAAGTAAAATTTTTCACTGAAGTCCTTAAATTATATTTTAGTTGCCCAGACTCTCACTTGGAACCCCTATGGCATGAGAGCTTGCTAAAGCAAGTGTAATATTTACTTATAGCTTGGTATGTTACTGCAACCACCCGAATTGGGGTTTTATTCATAAGGAAGAGAATAACTATCAGCATCCAGCTGTCTGCCCTTATTCATTTGATGATGAGCAGCTAGAACCCCTCCTCACCTCTGAACCACTGCCACACAACTCTCACCTGAATGAACCTCTGTGGGTTTTCTAATAGTTTACTCATTGGAGTTATTGGTTTTTGTGATCTGATGATGCCATTTATTGGAAGAATCTTGTGGTTGAAGAATGCTTGTAATCCTAAAATTGAGAAAATTTAAGCCATATTTGGCAGATTTGGGAAGAAGTATGGTGGGGGATAGGCTTTAGGAAATTGAAAGTATATTTTTTAATCACTTTGAACTCAAGTTCTCACAACAGAAAGAAGCCAAAGGAAGAAGAAGAAAGCAGTGTTCAAGATATTTCCAAAAAGAATGAATCTTCCCTAGAGAAAACCAAGGGCAGACATAATGGGCCTTGTGTGCCAACTGTAAGGTAGGTTTCTTTTCCCAATTTTAGGTTTAGAGTGAATAGCGTACAGTTACAAATAGAATCATCTGTAATCTGGTTGGTGCACAGGTGCTTGGGAAACTGCTAAGGCTGTGACAGTGGTGTTAGCACTGTCCTGGAAGGTGCTCAAATCGTAGACAATGAGAAAAATATACTATAAAAGCAAATACAAAATACATATAAAAGGAAAAGTTAAGTAGAAATTCTCACTACCTAAATTGGACAGTTTGTTTTTTCTTCCACTCCACTGGGCCCTTACCCAGGTAAATAAACATTTTCATCACCAGTTAGCAAACAGTCTTTGGATTCTGCTTTGCTTTATTCACTTTCCATGAGATGGTTTCATTCTTTTTTCTGTGCTCTTATAAATCTTATGTAGATTTCTTTGACAGATTACTAACATTCTATCAAAATAGATTAAACCATTTCCTATTTTCCAGTTTTTCACTATTACAAGTAATCAGCAAACAACTTTACAGGCAGAGTTGTTTCTTTTAAGGAGTCTCCTCAGTGACAAAAGAGAGATTCCTTGATCAAAGAGCATGATGGCTTTATAGTTCTTTATATTTATTGCCAATTTCATTTCTAAAATGAAAGTACCAGTTTTCAGTGCCATTGGCTTTGAAGGAATATTTTTTATTTCCTTGTAGTCATACCTGCTTTTTAAATTTTTTACCATTTATTTATGGCAGTACTGGGGTTTGAACTCAGGGCCTCACAGTTGCTGGGCTTGTTAGGCTTGCTAGGCAGGTACTCTACCACTTGAGCCACTCTGCCTTCCCTGTTTTATATTAGGTTTTTTCAAGATAGGGTCTTGTGAACTATTTGCCTCTGACTGGCTTCGAACACCATCCTCCTGATCTCTGCCTCCTGAGTAGCTAGAATTACAGGTATAAGCCACCAGTGCCCAGGTTCTTTGACTTTTAAAATTGCTTCAAATTTACTTGGTACAGTATTGATGGCATCAAATTAATATTTTTAAAATTTTGTGAATTGGCAGTATATTTATAAGTAAAAAGCAATATTATGATCTATAACAACAATGTGGAATCATTAAATTAAGCTAATTAATATATCCAGCACCTAAAATGTTTTGTGGTAAGAGAATGAAAATTATCCCATTAACAGTTTTGAAATATGCAGTGTACCACTACTACTATATTCATCATGCTGTACATAGACCTCAAACAAAATCTTATTCTTTTTGTCTAACTGGGTTTTTGTACCTTTTAATTATATCCTCTTTTACCCTATCCTCTAGCAAATTATTTTAACTTTTATTTTATTTTTTTTGGTGGGACTGTGGTTTGAACTTAGGGCTTCATGCTTAATAAAATAGGCTCTTTACTGCTTGAGCCACACCTCCTGACACATTTTGCTCTGGTTATTTTGGAGGTGAGATCTCATGAACTAATTTCCCAGGCTGGCCTTGAGCCAAGATCCTCCTGATCTTAGCCTCCCAAGTAACTAAGATTGCAGAGGTGAACCACCAGAACCCACCTATTTAATTTTCTTATTTGCTTATGGTTCTAGGAATTGAACCCAAGGCCTCACTCTTGCTAGGCAAGTACTCCACCATTTGAATTATGCTCCAGTCCCTTTTATTTATTTGCTGACAAGATTTTATTGTTCTTGCTTTCTAAATATCTTTCCCATATTTCCTTACAAGTGGTCTTAGTGATACTGTCGTTATTAAGAATGGCTACTCTACATTGAACTTCATCATGTGTCAGTCACTTCAGAAACATCTACTATAACAGTTCCAGAGAGTCGAGAAAACAGCCTCCTAGAGGTTGAATAGTTTTTTTCAAGTTCATAATTGCAGAAAATGAAATGACAGGGTTGGAATTTGAAACCTGTTGATTTCTAAGTCTGTCTTCTCTATTACATTTATTTTGTATTAAACCCTTGCCATATCTGTTGCAAATATTTTCCCTATTACTTGTTTATTCATTTACTTAATGCTATTGGGGATCAAGCCCCAGTAGCTCTGCCACTGAGCTACATTCCCAGCCCTATTTTCGCCATTCTACTTTTTTTTTTTAATTTAGTTTTTCATGTGGCATAAGAGCTAATCATTGTATAGTAAGATTTGTGGATCTTTTATAGTATCTTCTATAGTCTGTTTTTTTCTGAAAAAAATTTCAGTATCTTGGTATAAAGTATTCATCTTGATTTTTTTTTTCCATTGTGTTACCTAATTAAGCCAATATATATTTATTAGATAATATTTTTTGGTTGTAATGATTTTTTTTTTTAACCATAGGTTAAAAACATAGCCTATGTGATGCCTTTAGATTATTTTGAATCATTGAATTCCTTTCTCCTCTTTTGACCTTTAGGCAGAAGGTTCTGAAAAGTACTGAGGAGCAAGAGTTGGAGAAGAGAATGAAAATGCAGCAGGAGGTAGTGGAGATGCGGAAAAAGAATGAAGAATCTAAGAAACTTGCTCTTGAAGGAGCAGGTCAGTTTGATTGAGTCTAAGTTATGAGGGTTACTTCTTGTAGTCTTGGTAGGGTTTTTGGAGGTCTCTAAAGCAAAAAACAAAGTTTTCTCAGCAGGCAGTGTAAAAAGATGTCTTTATTTAAAGGGCTGGTTGTGGGTTTAATTTATAATCCACTGATTATTCCCTAGAACAGCTGACCCACAGTTATGCTTCAGTGGCTTGCCTATAATCCCAGTTACTTGGGAGCCTGAGATTGGGAGGATCAAAATTCAAGTCCAGTCCAGGCAAATGGTTCATGAGACCCCATTTCCAACATTACCAGAGTAAAATTGGCCAAACGTGTGGCTCAAGTGGTAGAATGCCTGCTTTGCGAGCATGAAGCCAAGTTCAAACCCTAGTCCCACCAAAAAAAAAAAAAAGCATGCTATTCTTCCTCTTTGTATTAGAAAAAGAAGAAACTAGCATTGAGACAAAAGATAAAGGAAGAGGGCAGGCCAGTTTGTTCTTGTCACTGTTTTTCCCTTTTGTTCTAAGGCAGAGGTAAAGAGAGCTGAGTCAAATCCAATTGTAGCTATGGGGGAAAGTATAATTGATGGTAATAGTCACAATTCTGCTTTGGTCTGGCATAGAGTTGCTATTGGTGGAGTCAAAGCTATTAAGTTCTCCTTACCAGTTAGAAAAGCACCTTAGAGTTTATAGAGATGATGAGTTAAGTTTGCTTTTAAAGTCAATCCATAGAGGCTGGGGTTGTAGCTCAGTGGCAGAGAGCCTGACTAGCATGCATGAGTTAGGTTAGATCTTCAGCAACACACACACACACACACACACACACACTCTCTCTCTCTCTCTCTCTCTCTCTCTCTCTCTCTCTCTCTCTCTCTCACATATGAATCCATAGCTTTTCCTATCAAAAGTATTCCAGTGACACTTTCTCTAAAGCTATGACTATATGTGGAAAATGGGATTTTTCTTCTCTGCACTACCTGGTATGTATCTGACCAAAAGGTTCAAACCTAATAGTATTCACTGAAGATGAACACATGTATCAGTGTTCCTGAGGACTGTTTCAAGTTTTGGGTTACAGGTAGATAGTAAACAAAGTTAGTTATTTCATGGTGACAGAAATACCAAAAGGAGTAAAAAGGGGCTTACTTACATTCCCTATTCTTAATATTATCTGTATGTTTAATTCTGTTCCTCACTTAGGGCAACTTGTGAAGAAATCAGTTAGCCAGGTAACCAAACCAGTTGACTTCTACTTTCGCACAGATGAGCGAATCAAACAACCTTCTAAGAACCAGGAAGAGTATAAGGAAGTGAACTTTACATCTGAACTTCGAAAGCATCCTCCATCTCCTGTAAGCTAAATGAATATTCCTGATATTAATTCATTAGGATTCAGGTGTAGCACTTGTGGTCATCATTTACAATACCATAACTGAAAAGCATGTATTTTGAATTAAGATGAATACAAATTCTCTACAAACTGTGTGCTCTTGGACAAACCACTCTACTCCATCTTAGCAAGTTACTGTGAAAATGGAAATAAGGAAGTATATAAGACCAAGTGTGGTGTTATGCCTATAATCCTAGCTACTCAGGAGACAGTGATCAGAAGGATTGCAATTTGAGGCCAGCCTGGGCAAAAAGATAGTGAGACCTCCCCAGCTCAACAAATAAAGTTGTGTGTTAGAACTCACTTGTCATCCCAGCTACACAGGAAGCTGTAGGTAGGAGAAGCACACAGCCTGGCCTGGGCAAAAAAAAACATGATACTGTATCTGAAAAATAACTAAAGCAAAAGGGCTGGAGTAGTGGCTCAAGAGGTAGAGCATCTGCCTAGCAAGTGCAAAGGTCCTGAGTTCAAACCCCAGTACCGCATTAATCCCCACCCCACCCCCCTCCACCCCCGCCAAAAAAAAAAAAAAGTACATGAAGCTGGGCGCTGGTGGCTCACACCTGTAATCCTAGCTACTCAGGAGGCAGAGATCAGGAGGATCACGGTTTGAAGCCAGCCTGAGCAACTAATTCACAAGACTCTATTTAAAAAAACCCTGAGTTCAAACAAACCCCAGTACTGGGGGTGGGGTGGGGGTGAGGGTGGGGAGAGTACATGAAGCACATAGAATTGTGTGACAAATTGTAGGCACAGACATTTCTGCATTAAAGAATTCTCGTATCCATAAAGTTGTGTAGAAAATGTATCAAGGCTTATGGAAAAATTTGGTTCAGACCACTCAAATCCTGTACAGTTTTATTACTAGAACACCAACAATAATATTTGTAGTGGTATTATCTTTTTTTTTTTTTTTGGGGGGTAGAACTAGGGGTGGATCTCAGAGCCTCCTGCTTGCTACACAGTTGTTCTACCACTTGAGCCACACCCCAATCCTTTTTTGTTTTGATTATTTTTCAGATAGGGCATTGTTTCACATCTGGGTTGGCTTCTCACAGCTTTTATTGTTTGAGATGGGGTCTTGAGAATTTTTGCCCAGGCTGGCCTCAAAACCATGATCCTCCTCATCTCTAGCTAGGATTATAGGTTTAACCCTCTGTGCCCAGTGTTTTGTTTTGTTTTGTTTTGTTTTTAAATAAAGACAGGCTCTCACTATGTAGCTCAGGATGGCCCTTGCACTCGTGATCTTTGTCTTAAACCCTGAAATTGTTGCTTTTGCTTTTGAAATATATCTTTGAAGAGTTTGGTTCTAATCAGACACCAGTTTTATCAAAATTAATGATGCAAGGAGTAGGCTTTTTCATCAGTCAACTTGAGGGGATAAATGGAGAGATTCTGATTCAAGTGTCTGCCTAATCTGATGTGGATGCAAAAGCCCAGACTATTTAAAAAAAAAAAAAAATTTAATGGGTTTGGGTTGGGATGTCTTTGCAGCTTTCAAAAAAATTTTTTTTTTTGTCATACTGGGGTTTGAACTCAGGGCTTCATGCTTGATAGGTAGGCATCTTCTACTGGAGCCGTTCTACCAGCCCTGCAACTTTTGTTTTTTTCCTTTTGAGTTCTAAGAAAGCTTGCTTTCAATTGATTCAAAACATTGACATGTTTGAGAAAAACTGCCTATATACTATTGCAAAACATGTATCTGTTAATTGCTAGATTGAAAAAGAAAAGATGAATGTAACTAGTTATAACTCTTGCTGGAGGACTGACAAACTTCAGAATGGAATAATCTTGGCTTTAAACAGGTCCTTTTTAGTTTGATCCTCTGTGTTGAATATGTGGCTTGTGGTAGGCCTGTGCTCTTTTGTAACATTTCATTTGGGGAACAAATTTTCTCTTTTTAGGCACGAGTGACTAAAGGATGTACCATTATTAAGCCTTTCAACCTGTCCCAAGGAAAGAAGAGAACATTTGATGAAGCAGCTTCTACATATGTGCCTCTTGCACAGCAGGTTGAAGCTTTCCATAAACGAACCCCTGACAGATATCATTTGAGAAGTAAGAAGGAAGATACTAGTAAGTTTCCTACCCATATCATAGCTGGCTGGAGTTGTTCCCTCCAGAATTCTTAGTACAGTAGGAGTGATTATTGTTAGAAAGGAGAATGGAGGAGTAAGGAGAATGTGCAAATGCTGGTGAGTTTGTAGGCTTGGTGGTGAACAAATGAGTTCATAGTTTTGTCTTTATAAAAATAATCTCTCCAAGAAGATAAGGAAGTCTGAGGAGTGGAAGTTGTGGGAAGTTGTATGGAATAGTTATCAAGAGTATACAAAATAGCTGGGCACCATTGGCTCACATCTGTAATCCTAGCTACTCAGGAGGCAGAGATCAGGAGGATCACAGTTTGAAGCTAGTCCAGGCAAATAGTTTGCAAGACCCTATCTTGAAAATACCCAGCACAAGGGCTGGTGGAGTGGTTCAAGTGGTAGAGTGCCTGCCTGGCAAGAGTGAGGCCCTGAGTTCAAACTCCAGTAACACACACACACACAAAAGAGAATACAGAATAGTATTCTGGATAAAGTAGGATGTGGTTGTTTTGCAAGGTCTCTCAGATTTTTCTGTCTTTGCATGGGCATTGTGTAGCACTGTTAGGTACACATGAGTTCTTCCAATACAGAATTTCTTCTGGGTTTTTTGTTTGTTTTTCATTTTCCCCCCTCAGTGCTTGGAATTGAAGCCAGTGGCTCCAGCATGCTAGGCAAGTGATCTACCACTAAGCTACCCAGCCCTAATTACCACATTTCTTAATATTGTTATTATGCTCTGATAGCTTAAATGACTTGGTCAGATTTTATGTTATGAAAATAATGAAATGTTTTATCTTCTTGAAAACTTAAGTATTAAATATGACTTCATATAATACATTATTCTAAACCTTAGTCCGAAAGGCCCTGCTTTTAGAATTCTACCCCTGGAAAATAGAAAATTATTTTATGTAATTTTTACTTAAAACTTTGTACAGTTATAGCTAAATTGTGGTTACATGCATATTTGAAGTATAGCTTATTTTTAAAATGAATAGATTTGGTTTTTATCTCCCACTATCATATGATCAGATCTAAACTGGAAGACTCATTCTGTAATTATGAAAATTGGTTATGCCTCGATAGATAAATTAGTACTTTCTATGAGTGGTGGTGCTGGTCTTGATCCTTTGACATAGTTTTTTTACTGAATAATGGTCTTGATGCTTTGATATAGATGCTTTTAGGAAATTTATAAAGTTTGGAGTTACTAGTATTTAGAAAGTCCTTATGTTTTAAAGTCAAAATTTTCAAAAATCTTGTCAATAATAAGCAAATTAGTTGGCATTGTTAATAGAAAAGTACAGGCCTGTGCAATGCCAAGGAACCCATCACATGACTAGATTTTAAATTTAGAAGATGGCAGGAGAGTTTACTTGACGGCTACCCTTAAAACAGAGTGATAGGAAGAAAGGAGTGGACATTTGTCAAGTTAACTGGCATGAGCTGAACTGAGTGTCTAGGGTTTGTTTACCCATTTCTGGGCTGCCTAGTTGAGTCAGCATTTACAGGTAAATTAGACCTTGGGGAACCAGGAGAATGTCTATGATCTCGGTTTTACAGGTCTATTACCCTCTAAATCTGTGACCAAGACCTCCAGAGACCCACAGACTCCTGTGCTGCAAACCAAACAGCGTGCAAGGCCTGTGACTTGCAAAAGTGCAGCAGAACAAGAGGCTGAGGAGGTGGAGAAAATGCAACAGTAAGTCCCACTAGCAGCATTTGAGGAAGAGTTCCAAGAACCTGCTGCTTTCTCTCAGTTTTATAAGGACAACAATTGCTGTTTTCCTTTTCATGAAAATTTGTGACATTTGACAGGGGCTCTGTAGGCTGTGCCCCTGCCTCTATGATTAAAAGAGTAAAAGTATGAATATGGAGATGTCCTGGACTGTAAACTGGTAAAAATCTAGTAGAGGTGGGAGTAGGAAAATTTAATTTATAATTCTAATTTCCTTTCTTTTCTTTCATCTTTTTTCCTTCTTTTCTTTTTCTTGTCTTTTTTTTGCTGAGGATCAAACTCAGGGCCTTGGCATGCTATGCAGATGCTCTGTACTGAGCCATATTCCCTACCCTTATAATTCCAATTAAGGAATGTCCCCTGAGGGTAGTCCAGGTAATCCCATCCTGTTAGCAGTGGGAGAAACTGGAACTTCATGTAGCTAGCATCAGATCATATCTTCGTCTATTTCTTTTTGCTCTGCTTTTTTATTTATAAAATTTTGTTTTATTTGTTTAGAGGCAGGGTCTCACTATGTAGTCAGACTGGCTTCAAATTCACAATACTCCTGCTTCAGCCTCCCAAGTGCTGGGACTATAGAACTTCCTCTACGAAGAGAAACCCTAATCTTTTAAAGTAGTTAAAAAATAAATAGTGTAAAAAAATATTATATATATCTATATATATACACACACACACACACACATATATATATATATACAGATATATATGTATACATATAAATACTTCTTATAACTACATTGAATCTGGAAATTAATTATTAGAAAAGACTAATTTCATAATTGAAATCAAATCAGTTTGAGCCCTTGTAAAGAACTCCAATACAAGCTGCACACCAGTGGCTCCCACCTGTAATCCTAGCAACTTGGGAGGCTGAGATCAGGAGGATTGCAGTTCAAGGTGAGCCCAGGAAAATACTTCACAAGATCCCATCTCCAAAATAACCATAGCAAAATGGGCTGGAGGTGTGTCTCAAGAGGTAGAGCGCCTGCTTTATAAATATGAAGCCCTGTGTTCAAACCCCAGTCCCACCAAAAATCTGGAAATAACTTAAAATTAATAGATATATCAAATTAATTATGATAATATCATGTGATAAGGTACCTGTTAGTAAGAATAGATTTATGTGTGTGGATATGAAAAAAACTAAGACTAGGTAAAAATGAGAAAAAAATAAAGTAGAAGATATGTTAGAATTGCCTCTGCTTGAGAGGTAAAGATAGGGTTATTGAGAGTAGAAGTTTTATTGTGCACGATGTCTCATTTTAATGATTATTGTTTTTTGTTTTTGCTTCACTTTGCTCTTTCTGTAGTTTTCATACTAAGTTTTTTTTTTTAATGGTTGTTTTTAAACTTCCACCTCACAGATACAAATTCAAAGCACGGGAACTTGATCCCAGAATTCTTGAAAGTGGGCCTATCTTACTCAAGAAACCCCCTGTGAAACCACCTACTCAGCCTATTGGCTTTGATTTGGAAATTGAGAAAAGAATCCAGGAGCGAGAGTCAAAGAAGAAATCAGAGGATGAACACTTTGAATTTCATTCTAGACCTTGCCCTACTAAGATCTTGGAAGATGTTGTGGTAAGAATAGTTGAGGCTTTGCATGCTGGCAGAAGTGTCCTGATTGTGACCAAATATCCACCTTTTGAATAGATACTTCAAACAGGGAATTGTATTAGGAGCTGGAGGTGATAAAAGACAGCAGAAGTGGATTTTGCTCTTAGAAATTAAAGTCCAGTATAGGAACCAACATACATGTAAATAATATTAAAAAGGCAGATATGTTTTGAGAGCAGTGACAACTTAAAATATTGTAGAAATTCAGAAGAGAGCATGATTTTTCAAAATAGAAGGTTCAAGAATGCTTTGTGGAGGAGGCACTATTGGAACTGACAATGTATAGCAATGTCATTGTCATTGTGTTGTTGTCATGATAGCCAACACTTGTACCATGGGCCAGGCACTGCTCTGTGACCTTTTCATATGTAGTCATCCTTCAGGATCTGTGGGAGATTGTTTATGATCCCCACAACAGATACAAAATCAAGTCCCTTATGTAAAATAGTGTATTATTTTCTTGTGAACTGTACACAGCATACTATATAATTTTTTTTTTGAGATGAGTGTCTCACTATGTTACTCACGCTGGTCTCAAGAACTCATGGGCTCAAGACATCCTTTTGCTTCAGTCTTCTGAGTGAAGTGGGGACTGCAGGCACATGCCACCATGCCTGGCTTATTGTCTTCTTTCACTTTCTTGTTTTAGAGTAAGCCATGGTTTTGGTGAAACTGCAAAAATGTATTACCTTTGACTGGGTTCTCTTTGCTGTACTGGGTCTTGAACTAAGGGCCTTCACCTTGAGCTACTCCACCAGCCCTTTTTTGTGTTGGGTTTTTTCAAAATAGGGTCTCTGAAACTATTTGCCCAGGCTGGCTTTGAACTGCAATCCTCCTGATCTCTGCCTCCTGAGTAGTTAGGATTACAGGTGTGAGCCAGTGGCCCCAGGCCCCATTTTTGTTTATTCTATTTTCTTAGCACTAAGTCAAAAGCAACCTGAAGTTATATTTTCCAGGTTAGGTTTAAAAAAAAAAAAAAATGGACTGGAGGTGTGGCTCAAGCAGTAGAGTTCCACTCTGCAAGCGCAAAGTCCTGAGTTCAAACCCCAATCCCATGGGCTGGAGACATGGCTCAAGTGGTAGAGTACCTGCCTAACAAGCTCAAGACCCTGAGTTCAAAACCCAGTACAGAAAAAAAAGGTTAGGATTATGCTTAGAAATAATTACCATCTTCTCTTTCAGTTGAAAGTTTTTTGCGTGATACCTCTCTTCACAATGCTTTCCTCCCTTTTTTGGTATGAAGCATATGTACTATAGGCTATACTCTGTTACAGCAGACTTTTAAGAAACCTCTCCCACCCAAGTGACTGTTTCCAAGAGCTGTCATTACCCTCTTAAGAAACAGGGTCCCAGCTGGGCACCAGTGGCCCACACCTCCTGGCTACTCAGGTGGCAGAGATCAGGAGGATCGCAGTTCAAAGCCAGTATGGGCAAATAGTTTGTGAGACCCTATCTTGAAAAACCCTATCACAAAAAATTGGGCTGGTGGAATGGCTCAAGATGAAGGCCCTGAGTTCAAGCCCCAATACTGCAAACAAACAAACAAAAAAGAAACAGGGTCCTGAATATGACAGGTCAAAGGTAGTTTTTATGTAAACCTCAAAAAAACTACGAATTCTTATGTCTTCATTCTCATACATTCATTTAACAAACATCATCTACTGAATGATGATCTGTGTTAGGTGCTAGGGACCAATGGGATAAAGTAGTTCTCACCCATGAAATACTCATAGGCTAGCTAGGGGAGTTCAACATCTAAATATATAAGTGTGATTAAGATTTTTTTTTTTTTTTTTTGTATTTACAGTCTGCCCTCCTTATCTGTGAATTCTGCATCTACGAATTCAACCAACCATGGGAATAGAAAATAATTGGGGAAAAAATTATTTTTTTGTGGTACTGGGGTTTGAACTCAGGGCCTCACCAAAAAATTACATTTGTTCTAAACATATACAGAGGTTTTTTTTCTTGCCCAGTATTCCCTAAACAATACATTATAACACTTACACAGCATTTACAGTGTATCAGGCTTTATGAGTAACCTAGTGAAGATTTAAAGTATAAGGGAAGATGTGCATAGGTTCTAAGCTAATACCACACTATTTTATAAAGGGGTTTGAGCATCTATATTTTGGTATCCACGAGAGACGTCATTTCTATAAGTCCTGGGAGTGGAAAGATCTATTATCATAATACATGAGCTTTTCTTTAAGAAAGGGTTTTCATCTTTCACACAGTCTAGTGTAGATTTTTCTGGGATGTCTAATTGACGTTACATACTTCTTCCAGGGTGTTCCTGAAAAGAAAGTATTTCCAATCACCGTTCCCAAGTCACCAGCCTTTGCATTGAAGAACAGAGTCCGAATGCTTAGCAGAGAAGATGAGGTGATTCCCTGGGAGCAGGGCATTTATTTTTCCTGTGCATAGTCAGTCTGAGCCTTATCATTAAATTTCTTAAACATAATGGAGGTCAGAGGCAATCACTATTATCTGGAGTTGTCTTTAAGAACAATATGAACATTTAGGACTGGGGGCATGGCTCAGGAGGCAAGACTTTGAGTTTAATACCCAGTACTGCCCCCGCCCCCAAAAAAAAGTACATTAAGGACATTTGATCATCTTTTTTGCTCCCGTAAGAGCAAAGTAGTTGCTAAGATTTGAATCTTTTAGCTCTCAGTAATGATTGGTTATAATTTATGAAAACAACGGAAAGGTTAGGTCTTTTGAGGCATGTCTGTTTCTACAGCATTGAAATCAGCCTATCTTTATAACATGGAGCAAAAGTTGCCAAACCCTGCTTTTTATTTTGCCTGGGTTATTGTCACTATTCAGTTAGGGACTTTTAAAATTCATACTAAGCAGTTATATCTGCATTGTTCTATTACATTGATAGCCCAAGGGTAACAAGGGTGACCCTTGTGTTGTGATGGTTCATGGAATTGAAATACATAAACTGTTATTGATCATACTCGTTTCTTATTACATTTCCCATTTTATCTATAAATATCCAGAGTTATGGTAATTTTATAGCGGATCTCAGGCATAGGACTTTTTATAGGTTCATTTGAAACTAAAATACACAGTAATCTTATGTTACCAACTTGAACCCAAACAACTTACTTGGTCCTATTCTGGGTTTGGCAACCATTAACTCCAGTCACATGTTTTAGTGGAGTCTGGAGACTGGGTCAAAGAAGAGGCTATGGTATATGTATGCTTGGTTAGTACCTGTCTTCTGATCTTCATTTTATTCATCTTATCTGATGTCATTTAGTTCTTGCCATATTCCTTTGAAAAACTTTAGATCTTTTAAGAGTAATTGTGTTAGTTCTTTACAAATGCTTTCACATTGCTCTCATTCCTGTGATGTGGTGGTTGACTTCAGCATTATCCCTCTTTGATAGAAAAGGACACTAAGACATCTAAGGTTGAGTGATTTGCTTTAATTTAGTGACTTACCTTGTACAATGATGTTTTCTGAGTCCACATTCTGAGGAGGTGGGAGAAATGAAGAGTCCTTGTTTCTAAACTGAATCTCTTTTATAGGAAGAGGATGAACCAGTAGTGATAAGAGCTCAGCCTGTGCCACATTATGGGGTACCTTTTAAGCCCCAACTCCCAGAGCCAAGAGCCGTGGAAATATGCCCTTTCTCCTTTGATTCTCGGGACAAAGAACGCCAGTTACAGAAAGAGAAGAAAATAAAAGAACTGCAAAAAGGAGAGGTTGGTGTTTCCATTTTTGGCAAGTAGCATAATACTGTTCTTTGATCCCTGAATGGAACCTTTTATGTAAGTTCACTACCTTCCATTGATACCTCTCAGCCCCCTATGATATATAAGTAGGGCAAGTAATTCAATCTTTCTGACACAGAAAGGTTAAGTGACTTGATGGTAATCACACTGTCAGGTGTTGGCGATATTGTGAGGAAAACCTCAGTTTCATTTTGGGCCAATTACTATTTTCTGCTAGACCATGCTGCTTTGAAAACTGACCAGCCACATGGTCTGGAGCAGATACTGCTTTCTTGCTAGAGAGGTTTTTTTGTTTGTGGTTTGTTGGTTTGTTTGTGTTTTGTTTTGTTTTTGAGACAAGGTCTTGCTGTATAGTCCAGACTGGCTTGAACTTGAAATCCTCCTGCCTCCACCTCCTGAGTGCTGCAATTACAGGCATCTGCCACCATGCCTGGTGAGAATCCTTTTCTTAAATCTAATGTTTTCTTTTCTATTAGGTGCCCAAGTTTAAGGCACTTCCCTTGCCTCATTTTGACACCGTTAACCTGCCAGAGAGAAAGGTAAAGAATGTAACCCAAACTGAGCCTTTCTTCCTGGAGACTGATAGAAGAGGTGCTCAGAAGGAAGAGATGTGGAGGCACCAGGTAGGAAATGGGAGAGCAGCTTAAATGTTGGTTGGCTGGTTGACTGGTCAAATAGGCAGACCCACTCCACTGAAATCATTTGGGATGATATACTCAATTATGTCAGTATACTCTTAGCTAAATTAAAGGTCAGTGCATTTTGTTCTATAGAGATAGTAAATGTTCTAAGTCTTACAGGTTTCTCTGCCACATATTTGAAGTGTTAAACTCATTCACTAATTGTTCTTTTTTTTTTTTTTCTTTTGACGGTAATGGTGTTTGAATTCATGGCCTATATACCTTGAGTCACTTCACCAGCCCTATTTTTATGATGGGTTTTTTCGAGATAGGGTCTTGAGAACTATTTACCAGGACTGGTTTTGAACCTAAATCCTCCTGATCTCAGCCTCTTGAGTAACTAGGATTACAGATGTGAGCCACCGGTGCTCAGCTTAGGTGGGTTCTCAATATGATAATGCTGTTTCCTCAGCATGGTGTGCTATGGTATACTTGCACTCTGTTCAATAATCAGTTGGTTAATGGTTGATTTAATTGGGATCATTTCTGCCCGGGTAGAAAAATTCTCCTTGAATTCCTAAATTTGTCAGTATTTTTATGTCATACCTTATCCTCGACTGGTCCAAAAGGAGCTCAGGGCTAATCCTTGTTTGTAGGAATAACCCCCATCTTGAAGCCGATGCTATGTGATTGTTTCCGTAGCTGAATACAGGTCTCTGTTGGCATCATTCTCTAGGAAACCTCAGAACTGCTACTTTGGAAGCAATAGTGACTCTTCTTAAGGACCAAGACATAGAATGTCTGTATGGGTCATTTTCCATTATTAATCTTTTTTCTATTAAGTTTTTCAGATACACACAAAGTAGAGTGAATAGTATAATGAATTTCCATGAACCCAAGAACTTGCTCAAAACATGGAAAATGTTATTTCATCTGTAATTCTACCTACTTACCACTACACTGGGTACATCTACCTACATAAGATTACTTTGGGATGAATCATAGGTACCATCTCTTTTCACCCCAAAATACTCAAGTGTGTATTTAAAACATAAAGACATAAAAAAAAATCCATGAAAATATCCAAAAGAATAACAGTGATCCTTTAATAGTGATAGTCAACATTCAAATGTCTCCAAATTTCTCGTAATGTTTTAAAATAGTTGAATTGTTCAAATCAGGATCCCAATAAGGTATTTGTTTGATAAATTTCCAGGTCTCATTTAATCAATATGTTCCCCTCTTTATATTTTATGTGTTGAGCAAACTGGATTATATAGATTTTCCACAATCTGGATTTTGCCAATTGCATTCCTATGTGTTTAACATATCCCTCTATCCCCTGTATTTCCTGTAAATGAGTAGTTAGATCTGGAGGCTTGATTAAATTCTGCTTAGTTTTTGGTTTATTTTTTGAAGTGGGAAGGAGAAAACTTTACAGGTGATATTGCTTGGTCCCTAATGAGTCATATCCAGCAACATATAATGTTTGGTTATTTATTTTTGTGATGTTAAGTAGGCCTTAAAAGTAAAGTAGACCCTCTCTATCCACAGTTACATGGTTATAGGAGACCAATGTTGAGAAAGAAATGCTCAGGATGCAGAGTTCAATACTGTATACTGTATTGTGAGCATTTGATTCATTTTTCCTGTAATGCCACCCAACTTCCTGCTAAACACATGCCATTTTTCAACAAATCTAAAATTCTCAGGCTGGGAGTATGCCTCAAGTAGTAGAGTGTCTGCCTAGCAAGCATGAGACCCTGAGTTCAAACCCTAGTAACAAAAAAAAAACCTAAAAAAAACCTAAAAAAATTTCACTCCATTGTTTAAATTAAGCCCATACTTTTACCTTTGGGTGAAGTTTTGGGGCCCTGTTTGCTTTTTGGGAGGCATATTTTCACAAAAGGGCAGGGAAATACTCAGCAGATTACCCAGTTTAAACACAACTACAATAACACAGGACTGGCTTCTCCACATCAACTGAGCCATGTAATGTGTGCATGGGAATGTTTAATTTTTGTTGTTGAAATTTCTTTTGGTTTTTGATAGTGCTTGTCAAAACTGTTTGTAATAAATCCACAAATAAGGCTGCAGGTTTACTATATCATAAAGGGTCAGGAGCAGTGGCTCACACTTTTAATCCCAGCTACTCAAGATAGGGAGGATCACAATTTGAGGCCAGCTTAGGCAAAAAAGAACTAAAAGCAAAAAGGGCTGAAGGTGTGGCTCAAGTGGTAGAGCGCATGCCTATTAAGTACAAGACCCTGAATTCAACGCCCAGCACCACAAAAAGGAAAAAAAAATACATATATATATATTACTAATATATACATAACAATGCACACATTATATATATATTTTTTTTCACTTTTGTTAGTGACTTCAGATGTCCTGGGAGGGGATAGTGTTTATATTAAATCATTGCTATCTACTAACAAAGCAGTTCTGAAACATTAGAACTTACGTTATTGCTGTGCTAGTCATGAGAGTTATGTACTTGCTTATCTGACAGACTTTCTTCCTAACAGCTGGAGGAAGAACTGAAACAGCAGAAAGAAGCAGCTTGCTTCAAGGCTCGTCCAAACACCGTCATCTCCCAAGAGCCCTTTGTTCCCAAGAAAGAAAAAAAATCAGTTGCCGGTAGTATTCTGTGAACTCTTAGGGGATTGGGACAGATTGTCAGACTTTCTAGGGGGATCCTGAAACTCAGTGATGTCAGGACAGTGCTGTGTCAACCACGTTTGAGTTTAGAGGATGGTAGCTTTTCTTCACCTAGACCCAGTCTTTTGCCTTCATTGGATCTTCTAGCTCCCTTGAGTTGTAGAATGTGTTAGGGCCAGATTGCTATAACATAGCTTTGGCAAAAGCAGCTGGCATTTTGACAACAGTTACATGTTTTCCCACCCAAAGAATAGCAAGTGAATGAGAGGTAAGTTTGTTCAAAAGCAAGCCATAGATATAAAACATTTGATTTGTTAAGCACTAGGCAGTGTGTTAGGAAGTTAGGATTCTTCTACATCTTTCTAAAAATCACATAGTTTTGAGCAAGTTACTTTATCTCTGTGGGTCTTGCTTTTCTCCCATTTGTACTAGTTGATTTCCAGAGGCCTTTCAAACTTTTAAATTCTCAGATGTGTTGTGATTACTCCATTTCCTTCCAGCCCAGGCTTTTATTGCCTTCCATGTCTCTGCCACTTGTCTTAATCCTGAGGACTAGGTTTATGCAAGTACTGCTTATATACCAATATTCTCTCTGTTTCTATACTCAGAGGGCCTTTCTGGTTCTCTAGTTCAGGAACCTTTTCAGCTGGCCACTGAGAAGAGAGCCAAGGAGCGGCAGGAGCTGGAAAAGAGAATGGCTGAGGTAGAAGCACAGAAAATCCAGCAGTTGGAGGAGGCCAGGCAACAGGAAGAAGAACAGAAGAAGGAGGAACTGGCCAGGCTACGGAAAGAACTGGTAATTGGGCAGCATATGGACTGACTAACCCAGGGTTGTTTCTGGTTTTGTTTTTTTGCTGTGCTAGGGTTCAAACCCAGGGCCTTGGACATGCTAGGCCAGCAATCCCATGCCTTTCTGGTTTGTTTGTTTTATTTTTGTTTTTGTGCTTTGAGACACCTGCTCTACAGCTCAGGCTAACCTCAAACTTATGATCTTCATGTTTCAGCCTCCTGAGTACTGGTATTATAGGCATGTACCACCACTCCTGATTTTCTAGTTTGATTTATTTTACCTCATCTTTTCTAGATAAAATTTACAGTGGCCACAAGCCTCTGTCAAAGACAAGTGAAAGAGAGAAATCATCTAAACTGAGGGTGGTGATGAGGTTGAGACAGGAATGAGGCTAAAGATAGATACTTTGTGATTTATGAACCATAATTTTGGCTAGGGGTTAGGCCAGGGACTGGGTATATAGCTCAGTGGTAGAGTCCTTGCCCAGGAATGCTGTGGCCCTGTGTTCATTCCCAGTACCACAGGGGGGGAAGTGCTCAGCTATTGACATAAGTGAATGTGCCCACAGGAAAGCTCTAAGGACGAACTATTTAAGAGATTGTCTTCTTGGCAACATCTAAATTACTATTTGCTGATTAAATAGGAAAGTAATAAGTCTCTTCTCCAGATACGCTCATAATTCCTCTGTTTTCTCTTCAACATTTGGTACCTGCCTCTTGTGTTTATTTACATGCTAAAACTCTTTTTTAGAGCAGTTCTCAATGTAGACTGATGGCAATATTCTAAAGCACAATTAATCAATGCTAGTTATTGCTCTACTAATCTTGTTTGAATCAGGATTGAACTTAGACTATCCAAAAGGACAGATGAAACCATATCCTCTCCTGCAACCCTTCCTGGTTACTGTTAGTTTTTGCTTTTTGTTTTTGATTTGATCCATGTTTGTGGTGAGTATTAAGAGGCAATAAGATTTTACTTAAGATTTAACTCTGGCAAATTCTTAAAACTTTTCTTTGCTACAATTGAGTACAACCCCATTACTCCCTATTAAATAGCACTGGAGATAAGTTTGACATTCTTCTTTTTTTTTATGGCACTGGGATTTGAACTTAGGGCCTCATTCTTGTTAGGCAGGCACTCTGCCACTTAAGCCACTCTGCCAGCCCATTTTTGTGTTGGGTATTTTTGAGATAGGGTCTCAAGAACCATTTGCCCAGGGCTGGCTTCAAACCACAATCCTCCTAATGTTTGCCTCCTGACTAGCTAAGATTACAGGCATGAACCACCAGTTAGTTCCCAGCAGGTTTGACATTCTTTTTTTTTTTCGATAGTGAGGCTTGAACTCAGGGTCTTCACCTTGAGCCCTATTTTTGTGAAGGGTCTTTTGAGATAGGGTCTTACAAACTATTTGGCCCAGGCTAGCTTCAAACTGCAATCCTCCTGATCTCTGCCTCCTGAGTAGCTAGAATTACAGACATGAGCCACTGGCACCAAGCTAGGTTTGACATCCTTAGTGCAGGACCCAATAAACACTAAGAAGAAACCTAATGGGTTTCATACTTTCCCATTTTACTGTGTTGCTCCCCTCCTCCTTTGTTTAAATTTGTGACTGGGATCTGAAAGACTATTCAACTGTATTTTCTAAAAGAAAAAATACACAAGAATATAGAAGGAAGGAAATGCAAAAGGAAAAATAAAAACAAGCCATAATTCTCTAATATCTCTCTTAGTGGTAATATTATTTTTCTTACTCTGCAGGTGCACAAGGCAAATCCAATACGGAAATACCAGGCTGTGGAGGTGAAGTCAAGTGACCAGCCGCTGACTGTGCCAGTGTCTCCTAAGTTCTCCACTCGATTCCACTGCTAAGCTGCAACCGTGAGCTGCAGCTACTACTTGGCAACAGAAGCTGCTCTTTACACCACACCAGGCATGGAGAGAACCTGTTTTTCCAGACTTACCTACCCATGCCTGACAGAGCATACCTGAGAGCTGTGGATACCCATTTTGCTGAAAATTGTTTTCATGCATTTTGAGGCTAATAATGCAACTCAACTCATCTATGCCTCAGACTCCTTGTAGTTTTATCCTTTAAACATCAGTTGACTCGTACTTAGTATTGGTTTTAACTCTGACTAGAATTTCAAGTCTCTGTGTCAGTACAATGCAATTTCTATTTCTCCTTGTCCCCTCCCTTTTTTATATATGCATATCTGTTTTATTTAGGAAATAAAGGTGGTTAAATCTCAAGATAGGGGTTATGTCATGGCTTAATGAGGACCAATCAGTATATCAGATTCTTCCCTTGTCTTTGCACAAAATGCGTTCATAGTTAAAGAAGCCCTATTCTGGAAGGGCTTAACTGCACTAGTGGGGAAGAAGACCAAATGGACTTGAGGGGAATCACATAGTAACCATTTGTCAAGTTTTGGGCAGAGCTGCTTTGAGGCACATTCTCCTTGTTGGCGCTGATAATAACAGAGAATGGTACAGTATACATTCTAAGACCTCATTCGGAATAAATATGTTTGTCTTCCCATTCCTTATTTTGTTAGTTGATGTTTTTTAAATCTGTCAAGACCCTTTATAGATCAGATCTTTTTTGGGAAAGTGGTTAATTTGAATGGTAGGTTCAGGAACTTTGCAAAACACAGACTCTGTCCTTAAAGGTAAGTGCTTTGTAACTTTTCTACCTACATCAGAATCTCCTTCCACATTTTGTTAACTCCCTCCCAGTAAATACTGAGTCATATATGTTGTACCTTCATGTAGACTATGTCTTCTTCCCTAGATGAACTTTTTCTCATTTGGTAAATTCCTCCTTTATAAGACTCAGTTCACATAAAATATTATTTTAGAAATCTTTCATGAGCTCCTCAAATAAGGATGGTCACTTCCTTTGTAGCATCTCCTGAATGTTTCTTGAGTGCTAGGCATGGTAGAGTGCTCAAGACCCTGAGTTCAACCCCTGTTATGGTTCCCACCTCCCAAAAAAAAAAAGTCTCTAGTAGAGCAGTTATAGTATATCTGAATTACTTGTAGGTGTTGACAAACTAATAGAGATATGTCAGTTTCTTGAAGACAAGGTTTTTTTGTTTTGTTTTGCAGTATTGGAGCTTGAACTCGGGGCCTACACCTTGAACCACTCCACTAGCACTTTTTTGTGATGATGGGTTTTTTCGAGATAGCGTCTCGAAACTATTTACCCAGGCTGGCTTCGAACAGAGATCCTCCTGATCTCTGTAGTTAGGATTACAGGCGTGAGCCACTGGTGCCTGACTTGAAGACAAGAATTATTATAGTCATCTCTGTGATTCTTATAGCTAGTGCAGAATTGGTGTAGGTCCATGCTAAATAATACATTTTCTTCTAGATTTTGTGTTATTTCTGAACTTCTGCTCTTTGTCAGTCATCTGTATCAGGAGGTACAAGACTATGTTCTGCCCAGACCAGTTCTAAGTACTATGTTTGACATTCAACTTATATATATTTTTTCATCTATGCAGTGAGCATTTATGGATTTCTTATGTACAAGTTATTGGTAGGAGCTACCAAGACAAGATAGTGTTTCTCATGGTATGATTTGCAGATCCCTGGCCCTTCTGAAGGCCCACAAATTTGCACAAAATGTACTTCATTCATTTCCTACAGGTATATGACAGTTTTAAAACCACTTTTTTGGGGGGGATTGGGGTTTGAACTCAGGGCTTTGATGCTCTACTGCTCGAGTAACATCTGCAGTCTGTTTTGCTGTGATTATTTTGGAGATGGGGGAGTCTCTTGAATTATTTGCCTTGGCTGGCCTTGAACCTTGGTCCTCCCGATCTCAGCCTACCAAATAGCTAGGATTACAGGCATGAGCCATCAGTCCACTTATTTAGTTCATTTAACAAATATTCATGTGGTGTTAACTATATGTACCTTGGCATTGTTCTGGTCTTTGAGAATACGGCATTGAGCAAATAAAGACCTTGCCTTCATAGAGCTTACATTTTTAGTCGAGGAGATAGATAATAAGTACATACCTATATCTTTTGTGTGGTGAGAGATGTTACTATACCTGCTGTGTGAGAATAGACTAGGGTGGGAAAAGGGGGCACATGAGATTAAAATTGGGAAGGTGAGGAAGTTCTGGCTGCTGTCAGGTCAGAGCTGATGGAGGTGTGGTCTAATGTGGTCACAGTGGAGATGGGAAGAAATTGAGTGATTTTGAAGTTGTAACTGATAAGACCTGCTAACATTTAACATTTGGATTTAGAGAATAAAATAAAGGAAAATTATGGAGTGCATGCAGGTATCAGTCCCAGACACACAGGATACTCCATCCCTTATATTGTGAAAAATTCAATTCTACCCCAGAACTTATATTTTGTTATGAATTCTCAGAACTTTCCTATTTTTTTTTTGGTCACCTCTTTCTCTATTTCTTCTTCTTTTTTTTTCCTTCTTCTACTTTTGCTCATCTGTTGATCTGAGTCCACACCATGTACCCTTTCTTCTCTGCTTATATCAGCAGTTCTCAGTTCACTATCATTTATGCAATCCCATTTGGCATTATTTTCTCATATATCTTGCTGCTTTTTATTGCTTTAGGTGGGACAATAAATCTAGGCCTTAAATTGAGGGTTTTTGGAAGGAGTGCTATAGAGAATTATGAACTTCCGGGATCCTTCTACCCCATCCGCCCCATTCTAAATTGTCCCCTGCACACACTCACATTAGAGTCATAATATGTGACAGTGTCTTAGAGACAGTACAGAGAAGTTATGAGGCTTCTATTTTAGAGAAAATAGCTTAAAACTGAGACACAAACATCTAGTACCTCTTGCTTCCCAGAATTAATTTTCCAGTGGCCCTTTGTTTTTCCTTGCCACATTCCCTTGTCTTATACTGAATCCTTTCTTGCTGCACCCCCTCACATCACCCTTCTTTTTCTAGTCACATTCCCCAGAGAAATTCATGTTCCTTATCTCTTCAGGCCATGTCCTGGAAGAAGCTTCATCTTTCCACACACACAGATTACTTAGAAATTTCCCTAAACAAAGAATATGTCCTGAGATAAAAGCTTACTTACTTCTGCTGGGGGCCAGTGGCTCCCTGTAATCCTAGCTAGTCAACAGGCAGAGATAGGAGGACTGTGGTTTGAAGCCAGCCTGGGCAAATAGTTTGTGAGTCTCTATCTCAGGAAAACCCAACACAAAAATATAGGGCTGGTGGAGTGGCTTAAGTGGTAGAGCTCCTGCCTAGCAGGAATGAGGTCCTGAGTTCAAATCCCAGTACCACCACACACACAAAAAAGGGTGGGTGTGTTTACTGAATTCTGCCAAGAAATATGGCTGACACTAACCATTTTGCAAAGTTCCTAATGCACACAAAGATGATCAGAATTCCCACAGTTTCTGGGAAGGACTGCTTTCAGGGTAGTTTTGAGTTGGTTATGGTTTCCCGTTGCTATTATTCATGTACTAATTCATATAAGAGTACTGTTCACTCTTACTTTGGTTGATCTTTTTGTCCCTATGTTGTAGCTTGGTTGTCATTTTGATTTCTGTTTCATTCCTTACTAGTTCTTTTCCATGGAGTTTTGTCCCTGAAAAGGAAAGCCGGAGTGGTAGACAGACTGCAACTGCAGATGCTCCAGCATTTAACAGAGATGAGACCCAGTCACAAATAACTGTAAAACAAGATGGGATGAGATTCAGTAACATGAGGCAGAGTGCTGTGGGAACTTATGAATCCTTACTGGAAGTGAATGTGAAGTTCATAAAGATGATTTTTCTTTTTCTAAGCAAAAATTGCAAAAGTAGTACTGCCAGTTGGAAATGATTAAAACAATATACACCATAAAACAAAACATGCAAGTCTCTTTTCTTTACCTGCTCACATTCACTAGGAGTAACTCATTGTTTGCAATTGTGTATTTCCAAATTTTTTTATGTGCACAAGCACTTATAGAACATTTCTCTTTCTAAAAATAAGATTATAACATTCTGCATTTATAAAAAGAATTTAAATTTGTTTTTGGAAAAGTTACGTATTCATATGATTCAAAATTCCAGATAAAGAGGCAAAGCCTTTTCTCTCAGCTGCTCAGTTGCCATCTCCAGAGATTGTGCTACCTGTTTCTTGTGTTCCCTTGCAGTTTCCACACATACATACTCCTACCTCCCATGCCTTTTATTGCTGTACACAGATTGTATCATATTCTACACTCTGTGCCTTGGTCTTTTCAGTGTGTATTTGAATGATGTAGTTCTAGTGCTACCTTTAGCATGTCCTGGCTTCCTTCCTGCCTTAAGTATGAAGGTTCTTATGTGAATCTAGTGCCATGGAGTGACCCCTGCATGGTGTCCTAGGCTAGTGACTGAAGCCCTAGAAACCCAAGGGCAGGTTATCAACACCTGACCTTTCACTCTTGGTTTAGTTGAGCCTTTGGTTATTGGCTTGAGTATCTGAGCTAAATCTTGACATTGTTTCCTTTTTAATTTCTGTTAAGAAGGCTGTCTTGCAGCATATCATCTGCTGGGGAAGTTCCTCAATGCTGAGAGTAGCAGTTAAAAACTGTGAGCCACGTGGCTGGGCTCCTATTTCTGCACAGGCAGGCTGAGTTTCAGCTTGGTGTGTAGATCCAGGTAGGAATTGGTCAACATTCTTAATCCTGAGCTGCTATCTGCCTTGCGGCCTGCTGGGATGCTCAGTTTAGACAACATATAAAGTTTCCTGGAGACAGGACAAGCCCAGGCCTATGGAAAGAGCAGGAAGGTTAAAGTGTATGGTACTCTCAGCAGTGACGAAGTTGTAACCAGGGAGCTGACATGTTTGCTCCAATGCCAAGAATTCCAGGACAATTTGTTTTCTAGCTAAAGCCAGTGTGGTTGCTATAGAAAAGAAGCCTGGGGACAAAAGCATACTTCCCCTCCCCGTTTCCTTTGCCTTCTTGCATACCTACTCTTTCCTAGTGCTGCGGGGAACGCTACTGACGTTGGAAGTATCTGATGGCTCTTGCTATTCTGTCTTGTACGAGAATAAGAGGCTGGACTCCAGCCAAACCATAATTTTTATGTGCTGAAGGTATTTGCTTCCCGAAGGGCTTTACAAGTGCTGATACTTCACTCAGAGAAATCATAACTGGAGGGTCAGGGGTAACAGGCTGCCGGAAATACTAGGTTTTATCAAGCAAAGAATGATTTCACTTGATCGAGCCTACCTGAAAGCATGAAGTCCCCTTCTCCCTTAAAAAAAATTCTTATAGTTGCTGGACAGAGGAAATCAACCTGGCCTGTCTGGTCTGCAGAGAACCTGTGTCGTTATGAGACTGTCATCCTAGAACATTACAGGCAGATGTGTGAGCCTGCTAAGAGTCATGGCCAAATGCTCCGGCCCGGCTTGTTTTGGCAGTGATGGTATTCTCAGGCCATCTTTCAGGAACAAGGATGGGAGAAGTGGATTTCAGTGGGTGAAAATACAAAATTGTCAGTGGTTCTTAATTGTAATGTTGAAAGTCATTCAGGGCTGCGTTGTTCAAGCTTGCTTGGTGGTAAAGAGAGTTGAGAATTCTCCAGCTTTGCACTGACATCCCCCATCACAGGCACACATGTGCTCACTCCTTTACATGAATGATCGGGTGTTTTCATTGGTGAAACTTTTGCCTGTTTTTGTGTAAGTTGTCTGTGTGTGTGTGTGTACATTTGTATACTGCTTTTTTCATTTAGCATAGTAACATGCACATGTTTTTCCTCTAGTATTGCATACTTGTAAATAGCAATTTTAATAGCAACATGCTGTTCCATTCTTCTGTTTTGTAAAAGATTGTTCTGGGCTTTATTTATAGAACAGAACTGTTTGTGTTTGCTTCCATCAAATGTGTCATGTCTGTATCTAAACTTTAAATGGCTGTCTTCTAGCCATGTAGCTTCTTTGCAATTAAAATAAAAGCTCAAAAGGAAATATAAACTCCTCTCAAAAAGCATGGTCAATAACATTACTCTGGCAATCACACTTGTAGAATGAGAAGCTCCTTTTGACTTACAGGATGTCAGCGTTACTGGTGCCCATGTCCAGAAAATAAAAATGTATTGGCACTTATCTGGAGATAATTCTAGTTATGTTATTTTAAAGCCTT